TTGCATTTTATGTGTAGGTCTGATCTATCAGAGTTAATTTTTGTCAAGGGTATAAGGTCTCTTTCTTTTCCTATTTTTTTTTTTGCATGTGGATGTCCAGCTGTTTCAGCACCATTTGTTGAAAAGACCACCTTTGCTCCATAGTATTGCTTTGCTCCTTTGTCAAACATCAACTGACTATATTTATAAGAATCTATTTCTGGGCCCTCTATTCTGTTCCATTGATCTATTTGTCTATTCTCTCACCAATGCCACACTGTCTTGGTTACTGTAACTTTTCTAAGTTTGATGTCGGGTAGAGTCAGTCCTCCAACTTCCATATAAACTTTCAAATCAGGTTTTCAATATCCACAGAATAACTTTTGAGGGATTTTGAGGGATTGCATTGAGTCCACAGATCGAGTTGGGAAGAAACGACATCTTGACAATATTGAGTCTTCCTATCCTTGAATATGAATTATCTCTCCATTTATTTAGTGCTTTGATTCAGCTTATCAGTTTCCCTCATATAGCTCTTATATATATTTTGTTAAATGTATACCTAAGTATTTCATTTTTTGAGTGCTAATGTAAATGGTACTGTGTTTTAAATTTCAAATTCCTATTGTTCAATGCTGGTATATAGGAAAGTGATTGACTTTTGCATATTAACTTTGATTTCTGCAAACTTCCTATAATTGCTTATTCGTTCCAGGAGGTTTTTATTTTTTTCTTCCAGGTTTTCTATATAAGCAATCGTGTCATCTGAGAATGAAAACAGTTATATATCTTCCTTTCCAATCTGTATACCTTTTATTTCCTTTTCTTGTTTTATTGCATTTGCTAGGACCTCCAATACAATGTTGAAATGGAGTGGTTAGAGGGGACATCTTTGCCTTGTACCTGATCTTAATGGGAAAGCCTTGAGCTTCTCACCAGTAAGTCAGATATTAGCTGTAGAATTAGCTGTTGATAGTTTTTCTCAAGTTGAGGATGTTTCTTCTATTCCTAGTTTGCTATGAATTTTTATCATGAATAGGTGTTGGCCTATGTCAAATGCTTTTATTTCTTCTATTGATATAGTCATGTGATTTTTATTATTTAGCCTGTTGATGTGATGAATCACATTAATTGATTTTCAAATGTTGAACTAGCTTGCATACTTGAGATAAATTCCACTTGGTTGTGATTTATATGAATCTTTTTATACATAATTGGGTTTGATTTGCTAATATCATTTTTTATAGCTCAACATTTTATTGTATGAATATACCACACTTTGTTTATCCATTCGTCAGTAGATAGACATTTGAGTTGTTTCTGCTTTTTGCTCTTATGAATAAAGCTTCAATGAACTTTTGTGTGCAGGTTTTTGTATGGACATAGGTTTTCAATTTTCTTCGGTATATACTTGGTGATGGAGTTGCTGGATCATATGGTAAATCTGTATTTAATTTCTTGAGAAGCTGCCAGACTATTTTACAAAGTAGCTGCACCATATTATAATCCAACCAAAGATGTATGAGAATTGCAATTTTTCTACATCCTCGTAAACACTTGTTATTGTCAGTCTTCATTATAGCCATCCTAGTATGAAGTGGTATCTCACTGAGGTTTTGATTTGTATTTCCCTAATGACTGATGTTAAGCATCCTGTCCTGTTATTATTGTTCATTTGTACATCTTATTTGGAGAAATGTCTATTCAGAACCTTTGCCAATTTTAAAATTAGGCTATTTACTTTTTATGTTAAGTTGTAAGAGTTGTTTATATATTCTGGGCACGAGTCTCTTATTAGATATATGATTCACAAATATTTTCTCCCATACTATGAAATGTCATTTCACTTTCTTAATGGTATCCTTTGAATTAAAAAAAAAAGCTTAATTTTTATGATGTCTAATTTATCTATTTTTCTGTTTTGTTAGTTCTTTTGGTGTCAAGTCTCAGAAATCATTGCCTAACTCAAGGTCACAAATATCTGCTCCTAAGTTTTCGTCTAAGAGATTTAGATTTACAGTTGTAGTTTTCACATTTAAAGTAATGAACCATTTTAAGATAATTTCTGTATATGGCATGAGGTAGGGGTCCAAATACATTTTTTTCTTTCTTTATTTTTTCACAAGCTGCAATCCTGATGTACAAATACATTTTTAAGCATATGTATATACAGTTGTTTCAGCACCATTTGTTGAAAAGACATTTTTCCCCATTGAGTTTTCCTGAATGACTGATTTTTTAGTTAAACTAAGCTTGCATTCCTGAAGTAAATCCCACTTAGTAGCATATAATCCTTTTCATTTGTCCCTGGACTCAGTTTGCTAGTATTTGGTTGAGAATTTTTGTGTTTGTATTCATAAGGGATATTAATCTACAGTTTTCTTGAGATATCTTTGTCTGGTTTTAGTGTTACAGTAATACTGGTCTCAATAGAATGAGTTGGAAAGTGTTGCCTCCTCTTATATTTTTTGGAAGAGTGGGAACTTTTTTGATTACTAACTCAATCTTTTTACTTGTTATAAGTCTATTTAGGTATTTTTAAATTTTTGCTTGAGTCAGTTTTGGTAGTTTGTGTCTTCCTAGGAATTTGTTCATTTTATCTAGGTTTTCCAATTTGTTGGCAAATAATTGTTCATAGTATTTCCTCATCTTTCTTTTTATTTCTATAATGTTGGTGGTGATATCCCCTCTGGATGAAGAATGTTTTAAATGGCCTGATATTAATTTCAGAATCTTGAAATCAACAACAACCAAAGTTAAAGATATACTGGACTATTACAATTCAATACTTGTAATACAAACTAGAAACCCTTCCAGTTCTCACTTCTGTTAAGAAAAGAGGCACAAAGGCAGAACCAACACATTTCTAGTTAAAATGCACCTAAGTCAATTAACTGAAATAAGAAGCAAGAAACAACTTGGCTAAACTTACACATTCTAAGTACATCATTTAGTACAAACTCAATATTCTAAGCTAACTATACTCACATGAATACACACACATGCATATACTTTAATAAACTCAGTATGACAAATTACAAAGGCACTGACATTGTCAGAATGCTGTACACTATGCTTTCTGAAATCACAGCACACATATTAATATTTCTATTAATAGCCACATAATTTTTACATATTCCATGACCAAAAATCATCTTTCCTGAGTCACAAAGTGTTCAGATCTTAATAAAGAATTCATAAATACATATTACCTCAAATCTCTCCTTGTAAAAAAATACTGTCATCTTAGAAGGAAAACTGTGTATTTTATAGTCTTTTCTTTCAATGAAACTATTCCTAAGGAAGCTGTCTTCAAAGAACCTGGGCTACTTGTTGAGTTTTCTAAAACAAAATTCAATGTCAGAATTTTGAAAACACTGAAGAGGACAGCAAGCTTTCGAGCTATATTGATACCACTTCAATACACTCATGAGTAAGCTATGCTTATGTTATCACCATACACCTGATTGGCACTGTAGTTTACAGAACACTTACACCTTAATGATTTTAATTGATTTTTAGGGAAAAAAAATCCATGAAGTAAGTAGGGTAGGTAGTGGCAACATCTTTATCATTCCATTACAGAGCAGACAAAACTGAAGTTCCCATAGAGTAGATGACCTGCTCAAGGCTGCACAGCTCTCAAATGGTAAAGCTGGGATGAGGAAACTCAGTCTGCTGACTCCCAATCACACATCTTCTCTGTATGACACTGCTCCCCACTTACAAACAGGATGCAAAACCTTAGAATGCAAAGTGTGTGTCAGGAATTTCCACTAACTCTCCTTACACTTTTTCATTGAAAGCATGTTGATTTTGAATGTCTATGAATCACTCTCTTTATCTAACTCTTTTAGCAACAACTTGACTAAAAGCACGTTTTTAATAATCTTAGACTAAAAGTCTTCAGTGACCTACAACCTAACTATAGACTTCATAGACATGTTAAATAACTTTTAAAACTTCATCTTTGGAGCTTAGAGTTATAAGACTGTTAAAATACGAAACAACCCTGGGAAATAATGCCCTTCTAAGCAATTTTGAGGCCAAATTAGCACATGTCACTGAATGCTCTACACAACATTGATTAAAAACCTCATTCTTCTAGCTCTGTAGATAGTTAATTATTAGTGATCAGAGATAATTAACACCAATGGCCATTAACTAAATGTTTATTTTTTTCTATAGATAAAAGAGCTGGAACATATCATCTGTCTGTAGAACAATACTGTTGCTCAATCACAGCACAAAGCACTGATTAGAACCTAACTCATGCATATGGGCACTGCAGTAGTCACCCAGCAAAGGACAAAGTTCTTCGGATTCCTCTGACACAGAGGCCTAAGTGCAAATTACCTTCTTTATCTTCACTTTCTCTTTGGAGAACCCAACATTTACTTATAGTCTAAAAGGTCTAAGAGTCAATATGAGTTTAGAGACAATATATCCTAAGTGGTCACATACCCATTGGTTAAAAGGGAGATTGCTGTCATAAACCTATTCTCTAGCTTAGTGACCAATGGACTTCAGTCCAGAATGCTGTCGTCCACCTGGGCATGTACAATCATTGCTGTGGGGGTGGAGGAAAGACCTGAGAAAGCTCGAGGGGAAAAGGAAGTTGATTTAAGTCTTTGCTGCTCCTTCACATCCAAGCCAGTGAGATGAGAAATTTGAAATAATCTGCATTTGCCCTGAGATTTCCTGGGAGGCTCTAAGGAAGAAAAAGAAACAATTGCCTCCCTAGTGCCTTGACGTTGGCTGTGGTAGCAACTTTTTCTCCAGTCTGCCTGATCATTTACAAAAAACAGATGGATCTCCCATTACTCCCATTACAAGAACAGTACGAGTATGTAAGAACTTTGGGGAAAGCCTCTGTTTGTGCAGGGGGAGAAAAAGGAACCAGTAGGAGAGGTGAGATACGGAAGAGCACCAACAAGACTGCCAGTGACTTATTAAAAACACAGTGTCCCAAAGCTTATCTCCAAGAGAAGGTATGCAAGTAGACTAAGTCTAGACCTCACCTTTTGGCTTCCTCTAGGTGGCACAAATATTCATAAGCGATGTTCTGCCGCCGCCTCTCATCCATCTCCTCTGCAGAGAGCCTTTCATCATCCACAATAGCTAGAAATAAGAATAAGATCATATTACTTGTAAGGACAGCGTTCATCAAATAAACACCTGATGCAATCAATTAGAAAAAACTCACATAAAATTCAACATTGAACACTGAGACACAGGGTTACCGAAACACCAAGCATAGAGATTTGCCTTTGAATTCTATGACATATTATTTCTAGAAAAAAAAATTGCAATACTGAAGTACGGGTTGAAAGTACTAAATAATAGAATGAGAATCGCAATCAGATTTCATAAGCATGATGCCATAGGAGTTAGACAGCATGGTCTACTTGCAACAACTTTCCTTAACAAGCTTATGGAATTGGTCCAGCAGCTCAACTTGGACCATCCGGGAAATTCTGGGTTGAACAAAGAATCTACAAGGACCTGTGTTTTCCCACTCCTAGAGAAAATGAAGGCTTCTCATCTAACCCAAATCCTATTCTACAGATGCCAAAGTCTCTAAAATTCCTCCCTCGCTTATTTCTTGGCCTTTATGAGACTAACATTCCTAGTCAACAGGTATCCAAAAGAAAAAAGCAGTAGAGAGAGCAAGTGACCAGAATCTTCAAGTCCACACTCTTTATTCCAACACAAGCCCAGTTGATAAACTTTGATGCTGCAACTTTGCTTTTCTATAGGAAACACAGCCTTCCCATTTCTTGCACTTCCTCCAGCCACAGCTTCAAGAGCACCCAACAGCAGTCAACTGTCGCATCAGCCAACTCTTAGCTGTCTATTTACACAACAACGCTTTTTCATAAAAAGGACCCATTTTCTGTCTTCAATCGTGAACTTTAATTCTGATGGCTATAAAATGAATTTGGTTTCTAGTTTATTAGATTATTCATCCAGTGAAGACAATGTATGTATATAGCAGAGATATGGTCATATGAGGCAGGAATGCCAGTGTTTGATTTTTTTTGTTCCCCAGCTGCTAGCTCCAGTTACTCATTTTCATAAATGGAACCCTTAGTCCCAAGCAGAAAAGATAAGGATGTGAAGGTCACCCCTCCATTCCTAAGCAAAACCAATTCCATGCCCTACTGATGAGAAGTCCAAAATATCACACTGGTAGTCAAAAGGAATTAAGATCAGATTTTGAACTCTTACTGGAGCAAGTACAATGCTCAACACTTAAGATCTAAAAATAATACCAAACCCTCTAAGAATTCAAAAGAAAGGGGAGATAGACTTTACATCAATATAAAATATGGGAGAATACCATAAGTATTATATATAAATATGGACTAGATGCTTATTTATTGAGCACTTATTTTGTTTCAAGACCTCAGACAAAGCATTGTCTACGCAGTTTCTCATTTAAGTCTCATGCTTCTAAGAGACAGGTAATCCCACCTTACAGCTGAACAAACAGGCTGAGAGGTCATTTGCCCAGCGAAGAGCAGAAATATTAGGGCTAGAAATATTCAGGTGGGATGGAGGAAACAAGAACAGTAGGAGTATGTAAGAACTTTGGGGAAAGCCTCTGTTTGTGCAGGAGAAGGAAAAGAAACCAGTAGAAGGAGAGGTGAGATACGGAAGAGCACCAGGACAGGCTAGTATATAACAAAAGCAGGGCCAACAGAGCAGGAGTTTCCACACATATCACCATCCTTCTTCCGATCCGATCCCTCTTTCCTGCCACTTCCCATTTTCCATTGTGGCTCCATTCCCTTAAACAGGGAGACCTCATTCCAGACCAATGATACCAATTGGGGTCAAAAAAGATTTGTGTTTGTCAAAAGCATCTTCCTCTTCTTCTTAGTAAACTGGATCTGATTTAATTTTAGAAGAGAGCTCTCGGGTTTAGGAAAAGTACAAAAGCTCTCAAGCAACCCTCCTCTGCCCTTCCACTGAAAGATTCCAGGCCTTCAACAGTTCGCCCTGGACTCTTACAATAGCCCAAGCAGCCTCCCAGCCACATCCTCTCCTCTACCCATTCTCCTCAAGGCCACCAGAAGCATCTTTCTAACCATAGTCCTACTGATGCTATTATCCTTCTCAGAACCTTCAATGGATCCCCCTTTCCTACAAAGTTCTAGGGTACATTCCCTCTCCTCCCCTACATGAAGCTACATTTCAGCCATCCCTTCCAGACGGCGCCATGTTCCAGGGACACACCTCAACCATTTGGGTTCCAGCGCGTCTGCTCTCCACCTTCCTCCTGCCTGGAAAGCCATCCTCCCACCTTTTGTGTGTGACAGCTTTGATATCTTTTTAGGCAAAATCCTGTGGATCTACAAGTCAGCATCCCTCCACTCTCCTCAGCACTTCGGTTCACATTTTCATTACATCACTCATCATAGAAGTCCCCATTGTATCTTGGTCATGCCTTCCTCTCCAGAGTGGAGATTCCTTAGGGGAAAGGAGGACTTTTTGATTCATCTTTTCAGCTCCCTCACATCTAACATGACTCCTTGCACATAGAGAGCACTCAAATATTTACTGAAATATTACGTTCCAGTGAATCCTTCCTAAGTGAGCTAGCCATCACCCCATAATGAGTATACTTTGCAAATTATGCTTTTCTTATCCTGGGTTTTCTCCTAAGATACCTGGCATGACCACATATCATCACCTAACCCTCCACCTCCACTGTTCCTAACAGTTAATCCCCAGGACACCTCATGACTTCCAACTTCTCATCTAAATTTCACTCTACAGTCTGTCTCCCATTTTAAACAGATATTTTCCTTTTATAGTATCTTCTGACACATCAAAGCTTGGAAACAATACAAAACTCTTAGTAGAAGTCCACATGCTCAGTCTACTCTCCCTAACATTAATTGTGAGCAAAAGGAGGCACTCTCACTGCCACCTTCCTTCTTGGCTGCTGCTTCCTCCCAGCCTCAACCAACCCACCTGGGAGGAGGCAGAGCCCCAGCAGCACTCATTCCCTAGGCCTCTTCCCCTCACCTGCAAGATTCCATAAGCCATGCAAGATTCTACCAGCCCAGGAGAACACTAAGGGGACCCTCAAACTCTGATACCACCCTGTCCAACAAGAAGATTTGATTTAATGTTTGAATTAAAACACCCACAAAGCTTTAAATTGCAATTGCAACATACTGGCCACAGCTGATGGAAATCTACTTCTGTGTAAGGCTCAACTCAAGGGCCTCTTCCTTCCCAAAGTCTTCCCTGGTTTTCCCTGCTCAAAATGCCCTCTCTCCTGCTACCTCCTATATTGCCTCATTTAATATTAACAGTAAACTCCTAGAAGACATATTTGTGTTCTCATGGTGTCCAGCACAGGCTACATGCTCCACAAAAACATTTGATGAACAAATAATCTCTTATTAGGAAAGATTAATAAAAGGGCTCTAAAATATCTATGTAGGAAAGTTTTATTTGCCTATTTATACTGAATATAATAAGGGTGTGGTCACCGATATTGATGGAGCAAATATACCCACTACCATTCTACTGACTTCACTCTAGCAACTAATGTTCAATTCATAGACTCTGTGGGCCAGGCCTGAGTGCAAGCACCACGGATAGGGCAGTGAAGCAGCCAACCAAACAAAAAACATTCGCCCTCATGGGGCTTGCTTTTACACAACCTTGCCTTCCCTTCCGACCTGGTCCACTGGGCCACATAACTGGCCCACTGCCCTTCAAACCATACACACTTCAACCTAAACTTCCTTCATTCATGACCTATTGTCAAAGTGGAGGCCAAGGTTATGAATTTGAGAAAAGTCTTAAACATAGCAAACGCAGATCCTTCTGGGCCATAGAGGCTGCCAGAAAATATTTCTGCATTACTCCACAGTTACTAAGTAACGACTTCTGATAAGAGCCACTGGCGGGAATCATCACCCTGCCATTTAAAGAGCCATCATAGCGCTGATAAAAGAATTCACTTAAATGTGACCTTACTGTCTATAAAGCGCTTTTCCATGTTATTGTGTGGTTCTCATAATCACCCTGGGAGATAGGCAGTATCTCCTTTTTACAAATGAGGACACCAGGGTCATGCAAGTGAAAGGGACCGCCTGTGGGTATTCGCTGTGTCAACGGCAGAGCCAGGGCAGGATCGGAGGTCCCTCAGCATTGCAGTCCCTGCTCTTTGCCCGGTGCCATTGCTGCTGCCAAATCTGAGTGAGCCAAGAAAGGTGCTCATCACGGCCAAACCCAAAGGCAGATCATTTAAATGCTTTCAGAACTGCTTTTATTTTAAAGTAACTTGATTAGCTGCAATTTCCTTTAAAGCTCACCTTTATGGGCTGCTTTGAGCCCTAAGAAATATGAGGACATTGTGAAAAACACAACATCCTGAAGTATTAGCAACTCACGAAATGCCATTTGTAACACTGGTAAACATTGGCTAAAAGATAATATTTTAAAGCAATAACACTCTATGGAAATCACAAATATAGGGATTATGCAGAGATTTAAGGAGCAGAATGAGACCGAGTTGGTAGAGAAGGTATTGAAATAGAACTATAAGTTCAAGATGAAAGGAACATCCCAAAGAACACCCACAAAATCCAGTGTAAAAATAGCTCAAGACCTACTTCATTCATTAAGGAGTTGGCATGGTCACTTGTTAATTTCAGCTACTCTACTGGTTCCCTTCACACACACAGAGACACGAAGGCCATCATGTCCTTTGTATTAAAATTCTTTTGTTCGTTCAACAAATATTTGAGTGGCTGCTTTGTCCTAATCTGTTCAGGGGACTGGACACAAAGTGACAAGCATGACACACAACATCCCTCACGAACTTTTTATTATAAACAATTGAAAGTTTGGCATAATTACAGGATGCTTAGGTAGGTGGGGATATACTAAAAGGAAGGTAGCAAGAATCACAAAAACCAGGGTTGGGAATCTTTGTTTCATAAAACAAAATTATTTAAAGCATGTCCCTCTAAGGAAAAGCAGATTATGAATATGATGTGAATCATCAATTCATGGAAACACGTCACAATTTAGCATTTTATGTACACATGGTTATTTTGTAGGACTCTAAATTTCCGTAAGGAAAATTGAAT